CCCCCCACTACCTGCACTCCCAGTGAAGAAAATGCTCTGGCCTTTCAGGACGACCCTCAGCACTGCAGCCTGCTCCTCAGAAAGCTGTGGTTTGGAGGGGGCCAAATTCAGCTTCTTCACAGGCAGGGGCCACCTTGGGGCTTCCTGGGGGGACAGGGCTGTCTCAGAGCCTCCCCCAATACTCTAGGCATTGCCACCCCCCAGCCCCCCAACCACCAACACCATCTTGGTCCAGGTGCAATGCTAGGCCTGGGAGCCCTTGTGTCTCTGCTGGCTTCATTCTTTGGAGCCCCTGGACAGGCTTGGTTCACCTGGAGATCTTGCTAGTGACTTCTGGGGTCCAGGTCTCCCCTCGAGGAAGGGATCGAGGCTGGGTCTCCACTGACTCCTCGGGCCCTGAAGACCAGGGTCTGGGTCCTTAGTCGCCTCCCGGGGTTCCTAACTCTCCTGGTCCTCTTACCCATCCTTCTTTCTCACTTCTCACTGCAAGGAACCTGTTTCTCACCTCAAAGCACCGAAGCAAAATCCTGCCTAGCCAGATTCCCTTCTCCTCCATCCTTATCTTCCCACCCCCTCAGTCTCCACCCCTGTGGTCTGAGATCCATCTGCCCCAGATCACAAACTGTCAAAACCACCAGGCTTTGTCCCTACCCCCATGTGATCCGACCTGTTGGCTCCCCCTTATACTGCTGACCACTTGGTTTTTTCCAAACGCCCCTCTCCTTCTCTTTATCTTTTGGTTTCCTTTCCAGGCCTCCTTCTCTGCTTTCTCTTTTAATGTGACCTGGGCCACCCTTTTCCTATTCGGGCTTACCCGGTCTCAGAGATTGCACTGTGAGAAACACACAATTCCCGCATCTCGGTTCTACTCAGATGTCCGATGGGCATCTCAGTCCCCTAAAATACCACCCCCACCACCCCCAACTTGGGTCTCCTTGGTCCCTTCCAAGTCAGCGGCACACCCAGTCCCCAAGGCATACCCCCTTTCCTGTCCTCACGGTGTTGGGCTCGGCCCCCACCCGCGACTCCGTGGTACAATGTCACGTCCTGGCCCCGGGTGGCCGCCGCGCGCCGCAGCTCTTCGGGCTGCACGGGGCTGATGGTGAAGAAGTCGCGGGGCCGCGGGCCGAGCAACTGCGCGCGGGCGGAGGACGGCCCGGGACCCGGCGCCGCGGC